AGGCAATGCAGGATAAGCTTAATATCTCGCATCTGGGATTCAACGGAGAAAAATCTCCAATATACATTGTGGATCATTTGTCCCCTAGGAATAAATCGCTTCAAGCCGCGGCCGGAAAGATTGGTAAAGAAAAGGGATATATCCCTTTTCTTCTTCTTTTTTATGAGAAAACCTTACAATTCTAACTGTAAGCTTATAACAGATATGGACTCATTGAATAGTATTAAGTAGTAGTGTAATGATAATTATTATGTTAATTTAGTGCAAGTAATTGGATAAAAGTATAAAATTCACTTCCATATCTATATATTATCAAAATGGAGGTTTACGCACTAAAACCCACATATTTTTACCATACCTACTTATTTCAGATTATGATGTTATTGTGCTTACAGAGCCCTGGCTGAATAATAAAATACATGACTGAACTTTTTGATGAAGGATATGCCGTATACAGAAGGGACAAGCCACTAGCTTTATGTGCGGCATATCTAGCACCTCCGGTGTAAATGTCAATGCTAAAACATTTTATTGATATATTAAACCATGTATCCGAACCCTTAACCCTAGCGACTTCAATTTGCCGACCTTGGAGTGGAAATTAGTTGGGGATCCATCTTATAACTTATCACCACTATACCAGTATTTCATAGATTTCGTGAATTTATTTAACACAACATAGCTCTATAACGAACACTATGGGTAGAACTCTCGATTTGGTCTTGGCCAATGTACCCATCTTACGTGGTTGCTGAGGCCGTAGACGTTTTGTGTCCGCTTGACCCGCTACATACACCTCTCTCTATAGAACTTTCTCCATTAGAGAGACCAAAGCTAAAGCGCAATACTGTGAGTAGGTTTAATTTCTATAAAGCAGATTGTGCTGCTATTTATGACTATTAAGCTGAAGTTGATTGGGAGTCTATTTTTTATGGGCACAGTGATGTAAATAAGAAATTTGAATTGTTCTTAGAGGTTCTTAACAAAGTCATTCATAAGTTTGTACCAATTGTCAAACCAAATGCTAATAAGTATCCTCCTTGGTTCAATAAGGACTTGATTAGTCGCTTGCGAGAGAAAATTAGCGTAAGGCTGAGGTACAAAAAAAACATCAACCCCTTAGACAGAATATCATATCGCATACTGACTGAGTGTTGCAAGAAATTAGCCTCAGAATGCTACAGTGCATATATTCGTAAAATTGAGGGTGGAATATTAACGAACTCGAAACTGTTCTGGTCTTATATCAAGACCAAACGTGGTGGTTCCGGAACATATCAAGCTATGATGACAGACGGTAATACGGTGATACGAAATGGTAATGACATATGCAATACCTTTAAACGGAATAGAACAGAAACTTTTTTATTCAATGTAGATTATGAACAATACTTATTGAAAGTCAATTTTTTCATTTACCACTGGTTTGTAAAAAAAAAAAACCTCTGTCCTGGGAAGAACCAGCAAGAAACCCAGCGGGACTATTTTTTTTTTCAAACAATGGTTTACTATCATATTTACAATTAACAACACAATACAAATTAGAAATAGCTTGGTAGAGATCACCCAGAGATCATTGAATCTTACTTCTTCTCTACTACCTTCAATCTTGGCGTCCCCTGTGACATAAATACTGACGAGAATATATTTGGTACATTAGTGGGGAGAGGAATCGATAGTTTTTCAACTCTATATGTTTCCCGCAATCAAATCTATAAAAAAGTCAATATTTATGTAACGAAGGGCCCTGGGAGTGATAATATTTCACCATTATTCATTTCACGATGCGCATTATGCCTTGTGGAGCCCTTATTTATTATATTTAACAACTCATTAAGTTCTGGGGATTTTCCCAATGCTTGGATGGCATCTAAAGTGGTATCAATTTACAAGGCCGGTGATGCTCAGCTCATTAGCAACTATAGGCTTATTTCCATATTGTCCTCATTAGCTAAAGTATTCGAGTTTCCGGTCTGCCCTATTCTTCAAGCCTACTTCGACAAATATTTAAACGACAACCAACACGGATTCACAAAAGTTAGATCTACTAATACTAATCTAGTTACGCATTTTGCGGACATTGTTAGTTGTATTGATGGCAATAAACGAGTAGACGTATTATATACAGATTTTAGCAAAGCTTTTGAAAGAATAGTACAGCTTCTGGTAAAATTATCAGCATACGGAATAGGGGGGTCTATTCTAGCTTGGTTCAAATCTTATCTATCTGGACGCTCTTTCTATGTAGTGGTTAATGGTTTCAGATCAGAGTTACGCGATATTACTTCTGGTGTTCTGATAGGTTCTCACCTAGGCCCTATTCTCTTCAATGTCTTTGTAAACGATCTACCTAACTACATAAAATACTCATTACGGTCGATGTTCGCAGATGACTTAAAATTGTGGAAAGTCATTGAAGCACAAGAGGATTATTTGCATTTACAAAAAGATCTTGACGCGCTAGTGAAGTGGTGTCAGAAAAATGGAATGGAGCTCAATATCAATAAATGTGTTCACATTAAATTCACAAGAAAATTGAATCCTATTTCTTCCGTCTACAGCTGTAATGGGATTTGATTAGAAGAAAAGACAGTAGTTAGGGATCTGGGTGTGCTTATGGACAGTAAATTAACATTTGTCTCACATATTGACTACATCATAGAAAGGGCGTCCAAGATATTGGATTTTATTATAAGGAACGCTAGAGTATTCCAACGACCTTCCACAAAAATTGCGCTATACAATAGCTTGGTCAGATCGATCCTTGAATATGGAAGTATGGTCTGGCGTCCACATTATGCCACTTACATACTTCGAATTGAACGCATTCAAAAACGATTAGTTTGTGGCGGCGCTGTCGTCGCGCCACAAGCGAAACACACCGAAGCCTAAATCACGCTATCAATATTCCGAATCATAAACAGTATATATAGAACATCTCCAAACTATCACTCGGAGTGTCGGCCGCTCCCCGGACAGAACACCTTGCCCGGCGGGAGATCTCCCCTTTTCCTTCTACGGCCACAGTGGTGACCACCCGACGTGATCAGAACACACAAGCAACAACCTTAGGAAACTTGTAGTTTCATCATCGTCATAAAATACACCACCCATTCGCTCCCGAGCAAATATCGACTGCAGTCTTCATATCTTGCAAGCCATCTAGCTTCACAAGGTTCATCGCAGCACTGGAATAATAATGCTTCCTGTTCCTTCAAGCTACTCTCTGCGCTATACAGTGTTCGGCACGGCTCTGAGCCTTACTGCTCGCCTCTGCTTCACGGTACTCTCGCAGATTACTTGCCTTCTTCTCGACTCACGCAGACTACAAGGCAATCTCCTGGCACTTGCACATTTGTCGGCAACGAGGCTGCACTATCGACCTCCGGTCTGAGCAGGGGGGTGATGTGGCGGCGCTGTCGTTGCGCCACAAGCGAAACACACCGAAGCCTAAATCACGCTATCAAAATTCCGAATCATAAATAGTATATATAGAACATCTCCGAACTATCACACGGGACACGTAGGGATCTGAGTCCCTGGGTTGCCCGGCGGGGAGATCTCCCCTTTTCCTACCACGGCCACAAGTTAACACTTGGTGTTCTCACACTTCTGGCATAAGATTGAGCCCCTACAAGGACCTACTAGAGTTCCTAAGGATGCAGAGCTTGGACAATCGTAGGGATTTACTTGACCTATTCTTCTTTTTCAAGATAATAAGATATCAGTTGCGTTGTCCCACACTCCTAATGAAACTCAATTTTAAAGTTCCGTCACGAATGCCTTTTAAGCCCATTGAACCTCTCTCTCGTCCGTTTTGCAAAACAGTTCTGGGAGCCAATTCACCGGTCTCCAAGATTTCCCAACTATATAATAAATGCGGTGGGTCAATAGATGTTCATGTTATGTCTCTAAATAAGTTTAAGGCCACAGTAACAACGAATACATTATAGGTGTAAGTCTTTTTTTTTATAAACGTAATATTAATTTGTCCTATCATAAGTTTTTGTATTTTATGTAACTACTATGTAACTTTTTAGTAACTTAAAGCATGCGGTGTATACCTTCAATTGATTGTGCAATTAGTATTTAAGTTGATGTGTGCTTACTATTTCTTAGTTTTACTGTTTCTTAGTTGGTGTATTTAAATAAATAAATTATTTTGGTATAATTTTTACGTCAAAATGATGTAGAACTGCGGAGATATTGGGGCTTGTATCGAAGCTTTTTCGGTAGATAATTAAATTATGTCGATTTTTTCCTTACGTGAAAGGCATATAACGAAAATGTATTTTATCGTTATAAAAGTATATATATATATTTATAGATATTTTTTTATAGATATTGTGAGATAAGGGTATTTTTTTGATGGTCGATATTTAATAGAATTTACAAATACGCTCCCAAATCATGTCTCTCAGAGTTTTGGCCTAAACATGCATCGGGAGAATGATCATTACTAAATAAATAAATAAGTTATCTAAAATTTGCCTTCAGCTTATTGTAGAAGAGAAAACGACCTATTTTTACCAAACCAATACCAATACCAATTGTTATTTCGAGCAACTTACGGAAAACATATTATTTAAACGTGGAAACCTTGTAATTTCGCGTTTTTTGTAATACTCCTCTTAAAAGATGATAAATATTGATGAATAGTTTGTACATAACAATTTCTTCTCGTCTAAGTACTAACTGATTTAGACTAGAAATAGATAATACAACACACCACAAGCGTGCGCGCGCACGCATACACGTCTGCACGCGCGCACCCACGTACGCTCTAGATACCGAAAAACTTACAATTACAACTTTTAAATTTTTTTTTAATAACATTTCACATTATATCCAACTATCAACATCTGGTGAGCTCAAGATTATTAGCTCTCATTGACTTGTTTTGAAGTGTCTCCTACATTACGTGACGAGGATCTGATGATGGGGTTGGAAGCGTATTTTAGTGTTACGAAACTAACAATTTTATTTATTTCTCACTTTAGGTCAACAAATAAATCAAAATTTGCAGCGAGTTGGTATCTCCAAAGTGAAAGTGGCGAACTCTAAGAAGGATGCAGGTACAATATATTATTCAGTTGTCATTTCTACTAAAATATTTTTTTTAATAAACGGGATTTAAGGCTCTGGGTTCTAGCCCATTAGTATAGGTAAGTGACATTTGACTTAAAGCAGGTCGAAAGGAAAAAAGGCTTAAAAGAAAACATTGTTATCGAAATCTTCTTTTCTTCTTCTTTTCTTTCACGAACACATAATTGATGACGTACTCTAAGTAATGACCATCATTAATTTAATGCACATATAACTTCGTAATTTATAAGAGACTTTAAATAATTTAAATTATATAACAGTTTTTATAAAGTTTGATGTAAGTAATAATATCACAGTTGCCTAACATAACAAGTGGTAAAATTAAAAAAAATTCGTACAACCGACTTCAATATAAATAAAATGAGAATATAATCAACGTAAAAGTCAATTAAATACGCATTATTAAAAATAACTCAAAAACTACTGGTCAGATCTTGAAAATTTAATATTATAAATTAATATGGGACCACATGAGAAGCATCAGCTTTCAAATAAAAAAAGAATCATCAAAACTCGGTTCACCTAGAAAAAAGTTCTGAGGTACGAGGGTGACACTGAAAGTTCTTAGAAAATTAAAACCTGAACAAACTAGTAGGTTATTAGTTTTATTATATCTTTTCAAAATAGTGTCCATTTACATCAAAACATCGCTGCATCCGATTGAACTACTGAGAATAGCAATTTGCCCACTCGTCCTTATGGGTCTCTTCGACGGCAGTTTTGAAACGCGTCCGTACTGCTTCCTCGGCGTCCATAAAACGTTTTCCTCGAAGTTTTTCTTTGTATTTTCGGAAATAAGTAAAAATCGCAAGGTGCGAGTTCGGGGCTATAGGGCGGTTGACCCAGTAATTCCACGTCTGACGTCGTCAAGTAGTCGATTGTTTGCTTGGCGGTGTGCGACGAGGCGTTGTCGTAGTGAAGGAGGATCCAACTGCGAGGTCGTTTCTCCTGAACTTTTTTCAAAACAAGTGGCAAACAATTGTTAGTGTACCACTCTTCAGTAACTGTTTTTCGATGCTCTAAAACAATTGTTACGTAATGACTGTTCTTCCGAAGAACGAGGCCACCATCTTTTTTTCCCCGTTTCGACCTCTCTTTACTTTGGTTACCAACTAAACTCCTCGGAAGGCAACACCCAGACAGCATATCGTCTCTTAGTTTCAGGATATACCAATAAATCTAGCTTTCGTCACCCGTAAGTATGTCGAACTCAGCATTTGAGTCACCTCCGTTAAATCTTTGAACCATTTCGCGACACCAATCAACACGACGGAGTTTTTGAGCCTCTGTCAAATTATGAGGTATCCACCGGTCACAAAGTTTCCTGACCGCTAAATACACGTGGCCAGTTCTAAAAAATTTCAGTGTCGCCCTCACAACACATATTAGAAATTTATTCGTAACTGTTAAAAACTAAAATTAAGTGATGAAGTGATAAAGTCAGTTGATACCAAAATTCGTGGATGGTCTCTCTTTCTTATTAAGTATAACATTTACAATAAAAAGCTGCACTCGCCCACCCGCTTGCTAAGCGAGGCTACTATGACATAATGTTCCCGACGAGACAAAATGGGGGAAGCCTACATTCAGCAGTGGACTTTTATAGGCTTTAATCGATAAGTGAATGAATTGTGTATTGAATATTGTCTATTCTTCTGCAACCATAGTGTAACGTTAACGTTAACGTTAAATTATTACAATGGATTATTAAATTAAAAAAAAAATGCTTTTATGGTTATGTTTGCAGAGGCCAACGCCCTACAATACACAGTGTCCAACCAGGGCTCCCTTCAAATGATCCTAAACCGCTACATGTATTACTTGAAATATACGAATAGGAACAAGTCACGACAGTGGCGATGCGTCGACTATATCAACAGCATAAGATGTCCAGCACACGTCGTCACGAAGGACGACGTTGTTGTCCAGAGGTAGGTGACCTATTTTTACTTGTAGCAGGAAGTGGATCAACTTAGCTCATGGTTTTGTTGCTATATGGAACATTGATTCTATTGTTATTGTATTTATATATTGTTTACAGATGATAATAATAATAATTATATAATCTGTATAAGTGTGACAAACGAGCACACAGTCCAGTAGGTAGATGCAGTGGCCCATTGACATTTTACACCAATTCTCGATTAAAAATCATTTTACCACTAAAATGTTTCACTTACTTTACACAACAGAGTTTCACTGCTATTTTTACGTGGTAGAGCCATGCTGCAGTTATATTAGTAGTATAGTTGTAGCACGAATGGGTCGACTCGACTGGGGAAGAACCACGCTCTCACAGAATACCAGCATAAAATAGCAGATTAACACTGCTGTGTTTCGTATGGTGAGTGTAGAGATCCGGCGACCCTTTTTTACTGGAAACGAGGCATTCCATCTTAGTCCTCAGGGGTGACAATGCATCTGTTTTTTGATTCCTATGAGCCACAGCATCCACTTACCGTCAGGTGGACTGTGTGCTCGTTTGTCACCCTTGTTCTATAAGTAGACGCAGTGGCCCATTGACATTTTACATCAATTCTCGGTTAAGAATCATTTTACCAGTAAAATGTTTCACTTACTTTACACAGCAGCATTTTACTGCTATTTTACATTGGGATTCTGGGTATGTGCCATCCTCATTCCAACTTTTTACTCGTAGCATCAGTGCACCCAGCACTATAAATATAGTATAAATACAGGTAGGTAATAAGAAGATGTCTGGTACTATGTAAAATCCGCTAAGCGTGGCGAATATGGAAAATTCTTGCTATTAACGTGAAAGTTCCTTTGCCAGCTGTAGACTTTACGGATTAGTGAATAATAAGACTGAACGCTGAATCTGATTTTTCTCTCTTTGGAATGTTTTTGGAAGCTACATAACGGAATGTTGTGTCCCATAGATACCCTGATTAAAATACAGATGCTTTGTCACCACTAAGAAGTAAGATGAAATATCCTGTTACCAGAAAAACGACTATTGGCATAGTACATAATTATATTCATCTTCTTCATCATCATCATCCTTACAGCCCATCACAAGTCCAATACTGAACATAGACCACAACCAAGGAATACCACAACCCACGGTCCTAAGCCACGTGCATCCATCAACTTCTTGCATCTCTTACGAGGTTGTCACTCCATTTAGTCGGGGCCAACCTACACTACTTTGCTTACCGGTACGAAACTGCTACTCGATAACCTTTCTTCTCAATGATTCTACTGCAGTTTTCCACATCACGCAGAGAAACACTGAACATAGCCCTCTCTGTAGCTCTCTGAACGACCATGAGCTTCTATAGCTTTTATAAGCATCCATGCATCCATTACAGCTTCTGAAAATTCCACTGCTTAACAGGCCTCCCCCTAAAATTTCCTCTTAGGTGGGAATTTTGCCGTAGTTTCCCTGTCAGTTAACCCTGGCAAAGTTGGCAACCGCATTTTTTATAGTTTGCTGTTTCAGTTGTCCTTTACCGCCTCTTGCGACACGGCACAATATGTGGCAGTAAATATGTAGAATATTTACTGCCACATATTATTAGAATATTTACCGTCACTACACGTATATAAAAATGTATGCTATTTATGTATTAACACTCAGGGGAAAGGGTGCGTTTGGCAGTAAAAAGCGCTAGCAAGCGCTTACAAGCGCTAAAATAGTTTTCGGCCAGGACACGATTGCTGCTGAAGTACAGTAGCGCTGACACAATCCGCCATTTTGCTTATTTAATTTGTTTGTTTAGAGTTATAAGTTGTTTTGTGTAATATTAGTTTTAAGTAATATAATGACATGAATAGACATATACATGTTATTAAAAATTCATGATTGGTAAGTTTTTAATATGAATACTAAACATCATATTTAAATTAGGTTAGGTTCCCCGGTTAAAACTAACATCGTGTCCTGGAGGAAAATAGCTATTTACGATTTGACGGCGCTTACCGCTTACGATCGCCATTTTGCTTACAAGCGCTTGCTAGCGCTTTTTTCTGCCAAACGCACCCAAAAACTCAATTAAAACTCAGTTAAATGTGTGTACCCACCCTAATATTAATATTTAAATTTACCGACAGAATATCAGCACACACGCATCCATTCCACGACAAAAGGATTTTAAAGAAACTAAGGGCCGGTGCAATTTTCTCTAAGATCGTGGAAGCGGAAAGGGAAGGGGAGAATATAATCAAAACTCGCAGCAAAAACGACAGCAACGCTCAGAGTGAATGAAATTGATATTTATTTCGAGTTCTTGTTTTATTTATGTCGTATTACTTCCCTATTTTTTAACCGACTTCAAAAAAGGTGGAGAGGTTGTCTATTTGACTGTATTTTTTTGTGTGTGTTTACTCAGAACTTTTTTCTTGGTGATCCCACTTTGATGCTTCTGTTTTTATTTGAAAGCTACTGCTTCTCATGGGATCCCATATAAATTTGATCAAGATATGACCAGTAGTTTTTGTGTATGTTCTCATTTTATTTTTATTGGAGTCGGTTATACAAAATTTCTAATTTTACCACGTGTTTATTCTATAAATTGATAATTTTTTGACAATGACAGAAAATAACAAAATCAAAACGGGACAATAATTGAAATCCACGTTTGCATTCGTCCATTTGTACATTCAATGGTGAACAGAGTCTAACCCAATAGGGATATTTACCCATATGGAGGGTGTTTGACATAGTTGCTACGCAGGGCATGCTACGCAAGCGAGTAGACAACAATTTTTTTATTACTCTCAGTTGTTATCGGTAAGACGCTGCCTGCCATCTCCTGTTTCATTCATTTCTCTCCGTGGCGTCTCACGACACTCACGGTTGATGTTAAGGTAGTGGATTCTCTTTCTTCGGTGGATGTCAATAAACAAACAAATAAATTATGATTATAAAATAACAGTAACCTTTGAATTCGAAAATATCTCGAATTAAAAATCTTAGTATCTATAGGCTTAAAAATTAATGGTTTAAAAATTTCTTGATGACAATAATTGGATCCTTTGGTGTAAATTTTGCTTATTATCGTAATCATTTACGTCTTTACCATAAGGACACATGGGGTGCAAGATTTGCATACCTGTCTGACAAGGGCCTTGAAATATTGAAACATATTCACTATTCAGCCTATAATATATTTATTTCGTTATGTTATTATTACTATTTATATGTACCTCGTTTTGTTGCCCATCTCTCAGTTTCCGTCCATCTTCTCATGAGAAACTGGGACGGGAGGTGGGCAACTACAAATAATAAAAAACAGCGATAGCCAACCAGCCTGCCAAGCTTGGTAAAAAAAGTAAAAGTAAAGTTACAGCCTATATATGTCCCACAGCTGGGCACAGGCCTCCCCCTCATTTCTGAGAGGGTTTTAGGGCAACCACCGCTGCTCCAATGCGTGTTGTTGAACTTCACATGTCTTCAAAATATTTTTTTTCTTATTTCTCTGTCATGCAGGTTTCCTCACGATGTTTTCCTTCACCGCCGAGTACGTGGTAAATCAGCACTTTAAATTGCAATTAACAATCTCATTGGTGCCAGGGGGGATCGAACCCGGTTTGCTCGCGTACTGTGAAATTTACAGCGAGCGCTAACTTGCTTTATATAAATGTAGGCTTTTATATAGAGCAATGGACTTTCACAGGCTGTAATGTAAATGCAAGTAAAAGTGGCTTATACTAAAATCTGTGTTACGATGTAAGTCAAGCGGAAATGTGCGAATTGAATGTAAAGTTATAGAATTTGAGAGAAAATGCCAAATTTCGCGAAAACTGGCGCCGCTAAGGAACTTCTTCAGTTTGAAGGACTATTCTTAAACCGTAGTTTAAACCTGAGGTTAACAAAAAATCATGTTTTGTAATAAGACGGAATATGTCAACTATATGCTCAGACCAACAAAGAAAGAAAGATGGGACGTTGCGTACCCACCTCGAAAATTTTGTAGTTTTTGAATTTCACATATTTTTTTAAGTTTTATAGTTAGTAGGTAGTTATTACGTACCAAAATTTTGGTATATGATTTTTGACTATATGACCTTGGATCGCATAAAAGGAAAACACAGTATCATGTAATTTTGTCGATAGAAAAAAATTGCAAAGTAGGCTCTAATTAGTTACATTTCTCCATGACACCACAATATTCTGACGAATAAGTTCATAGAATTATTTTTAAGGCATAGTAAATAATCATATGTAAGTTCTCATAAACCATTTTTTATCCATAACGAAGTTTTGTTAAAAAAAAATAAAAACGTTTGGCGCTTACTTAGTTTTTTCCGAGCGTGTGCTCGGTATAGCTATCTCATAATTTGCATATTATGATGACATTGCATCACTTTCATTTCGACACTCCCTCAGTCGTCCGTTAACTTCACCGACAAAGGAATAAGCTACGCCCCCAAAACTACGATTCATTTTCAAGGTATCCACTTAACGTGGTTTTAGGTGCATATGTGTGCGTCCAATAATGAACTTTTACGGACTGATAAAGAAAGAAAAAAGAAGCATGTTTTGTGCATCATTTGAAAAGTACGCAGCTATGTAATATTTTTAACATAATTAGTGTTTGTATCGTGCATATTGTGTAAAAGCTAACCATTTGTCATTGCGTAAAAGTACATTTAGATCTTCTTAGTCATATATTTTTTATGGAATAAGGGCGCCAAACGAGCACACAGTCCACCCTAAGGTAAGTGCATATTTTGACCCATAGACATCTAGGTCTATCTTCGATTAAAATCTAAATGCAGACGCGTTGTCATCCCTGAGAACTAACGTGAAATGTCATATCTTCTATCCAATAAAAAGGGTCTACGGTTCTCTACACTCAGCACTACACACATTTTACGCTGGTATTCTGTGAGAGCGTGGTCGTTCCCCGGTCGAGCCGATCCGTTCGTGCTACAACCATAATATAGCTGCAGCGTGGCTCTACCACGTTGTTATTTATTTTACTTCCTAAATTTATTTGTAAAAATTTTAAGTTTCTAAAAATTTGTTTTACTTTCTAAAGACCGCTCTGCGGCTGCTCTGGGGCCAATGCATGGTCTAAAACGGCCATGATCTTAATATAAGAAGTTACATTGTAATATACGAGTATGTACACTATGCGTGAAAGAAACGATACGGTGTAAATTGTGAACACTTTGTGGAATGTGTGCGTATCGAAATTTATTTTGTTTAGAATGGAAACATAATTTGATTAAGCTGTTCTATAGCAGCATAAAGCTCAGTCTTCACTATTTATTAAATTAATAAAGTGAAAACCAAACGCGTTGTATAGAATTTACGTTAATTGTTGTACTCATTGTCATGACCCATACTTCCTTTAAAAACTACAAAAAAATTGTATGCCACCTACATATAAATGTGTTTATTTATTTTTAAGTTACATAAACTACTTTTATGTAGCTTACTATTTGATCGATATTCTATAAAGGTCGCAACGAGATAAAATCGTTTACAGTAGGTAAGTTTTTTATGGTATAACAAAATTATTTAGCTTTTTGTCACAAAACCTAAAGTAAAAGTTCATTTTATAACATAATCATAAAGATCGTGACATATACTTAAGGCTTAAGGCTGCTAAGCAAACTTTTCGTTATAATATTAAAAATAAATATATATGTGGTGGCGCTATCATCGCGCTACAAGCTAAACGCACCGAAACCTAAATCGCGCAATCAAAGTTATTTTGAACAGCGTCAAAAGTTCAAGACGTCTGGAACTGCAATCTTCAATACACGATACAAGCCAAGCGTCACGTTTATGGAAAATCCTCCTTACATCTTACATTAGGAAAAGAGTGAAAATTTACGTTATGTACAGTGGAGGTGGGACAGGAATGAGTGGCCTCGCGAATGGATGGAAATGCAAAGTGGAAATACTTAACCGGTACAGGATGACTCTGCACCTTAAAGAATAACAACCTAAAATAGCAGCATAATTTGAGTTAATTCCATCCAGCCCAAGACGCGCGTGCAGCATGCGGTTCGGTTAGAGTACTTAACAAACACTGGCGTTTAGCTACCTAGGTGGTAGAACTCTTTTTCTACCAAATTGGAGTACTTGTACTGCTGTATTTAGTGTTCTGGTTTGAAGGGTATAAACAGCTAGTACAATAACAAGCTGTGAGGCATTCCAATTCAGTCCTCAGGTAACAACGCATTTGTACCCTTATTACGAATTCTATCACGCAGAGAAACTCCGAGCATAACCTTCTCCATAGCTAAGCTACCTTTTTCCTCTTCAGATAGATTATAATATGGTCTTTTTTTTATAGAATAATGGTGACAAAGGAGCATACAGTCCACTTGATGGTATGTGGATGATGTGGCCCATAGACATCTACATTCATCTTCAATTAAGAATCAAGATGCAGATGCGTTGTCACCCCTGAGGACTGAGATGGAATGCCTCGTTTCCAGTAAAAAGGGTCTCCGGTTCTCTACACTCACTATACGAAACACAGCAGCATTAAGCTGCTATTTTACGCTGGTATTCTGTGAGAGCGTTGCCTTCCCCGGTCGAGTCGACTCATTCATGCTGCAACCACAATATAGCTGCAGCACGGCTCTACCGTAAGAATATATTAAGAGATACCTTATAGATAGAATTTAGCTTTAAATGACAATCTTAACTGCTCACAGAGCACGACTGGATTGTAGGTCCTTTCGTCGACATCCAAAACAAGCAGTAATTACCGACTGAAGATAAGAAATCGTAAGTTACCCAATCCTCGCACTGGTTATGTCGGCTCCACATATTGGTCCGAACACTGGTACCAATTTTTGCTAGGCTACGATACGTTGGTCATTATAGGTACTAATTAAGTCCAGTCAGAGCCAATGTTGTTATATTGTATCTTTTTTTTCTAAAAAGAATATTAACAATGCTATAAACATTACTAATATTCCCCTTAACCACTCGTGGTAAGCTTAAATTGCTTGTGTTACGAGTGGTTCACGCCAGTAATCGAATGGCGGATTCGAACCCACGACCTTTTTGAGTTCGCGGTCCGCGCCCTGCCATTAGGCTACTGTCGATCTGACATAAAAATGCTCTAGGTGCTTGGTGAATTCATGCCATTATTAGATATTTGTTATTGGAAAAAATAATGGAACAGAGCCACGCCAAAGGAGATGGTGGAAGACGACACATTATGAAACTTGGAACCGCTGTGTACCTTACCTACATTCCATTTTAATAATTTCGAGAACGAATCCTAAGCATTGGCGCCAACCGACACGGGCCGTCTACCTGCCAACATTCGCGTCAACGTTAAGGCCACTGCTATTTCTCGATCCACACGTTGAAGGAGTGGTGTTGGGACCAATATTAGGAGCTACGGGGTTATGCTGCCAGGGTCTAGCATGCTAACCGTTAAAGTTACAGCCTACTAAAGGTAAAGTCTTGCTGAACATACGCCTCCACAATATAGATTATATATAGATTGCCTCATAAGGGAGATATTTGCTACAGTTGCCACGCTTTGCAAGCGGGTGGGCAACCGCAGTTTTTAATTTTTTTAATTTTTAGTCGTTACTAGGAAGATGCTGACGCCCATCTAATTTCTCTCTGTCGCCTCTTTCAACACCCAAGGGGTGATATTCACTAGCATGCCAAATATGGGCCTAAATCTACCAAGTAACTAACTAGCGCATGTTTAGAAACCTTATAATAGCAGTGGACTTAAAAAAGTAATTAATACTGATAATATTTATCCTCGCAACATAAAACACAAACATTTTCCAACAAATTTAAATAAATATAGTTGCTTTGAGCGTCTGATAAATCGTGTCGATAAGGAATGTTGGTATCAGGACCGTTCTTTCATCCATCTTCCTAATTCACGTAAAACTTCCATATGGTGTTTTGCGTTTGGTAGACATGTCAGTTTTCAAATCTACCTCGAGATTAATCCCCCTCGTAAATATATAAAAATTACATAAAAATCTAAACGCAAGAATAAGTACTTAAAATACTTACACTACAAAAGTGCAACGTACGCCAATGCGATGCCCTCTTATTCGTATTGATAAGTCAATGATTGTCGTATTGAGATCCATGCCGGTTAAGTTATTTATGGATCAGTTCCATGAATAGTGAATACACGTGCTAGTAGATTTAGTTCAACGCTAGTGGCCCGGGGACACGGTTGCGTTATTAATTGCAATAAATTAATTAAAAAATAGCTAATGCAGATGTCTGCCTTAAAACTATTAGTGTTAATTTCTACGTGGATCGTCACCGATGCCTTCAATATACTCTGTCTGTTGCCGTACCCTGGTAAAAGTCATCACATGGTGTTCGAGCCTCTTTTAGAAGAATTAGTACATCGAGGTCACAGTCTAACAGTAGTATCTTTCTTCCCAACATCAAAACCTCATCCGAGACGTCGGGACGTAAATCTCCAGGGTCTTGCCCCATTAAACGTTGAAATGATCGATTTAAGAGACGCGGACTTTTCTTTCTATGGCTTAGAGAGATACTTCGAGCATGTACCCATAGCGACCCGTCTTGCAAAGTCCAATTTGGAATTATGTAAGCGTCTCTTAGACTCTAATATATTAGAAGAATTTATTAAAGCAAGAGGGGACTATCATTTGATTCTCGTGGAGCATTTTACCAGTGACTGCATGCTAGGTATAGTCCACAATTATGGACTGCCTTCTGTAGGTTTGATGTCTTGCGCATTACTACCTTGGTCGTTTTCAAGAGTTGGAGCTCCTGATAATCCGTCTTTTGTTCCTGGAATGACACTGCCATTGTCAGACCAAATGACTTTCGCACAGCGCATTGAAAATACGTTCTTCCTTTATTTTTATTTAATATGGTACGAAGTGATGATACGGTGGGAAGAGCAGAAGATATTAGAAGCGAAGTTAGGGAGGAAACTGCCTCCGCTAGAGGAAATAGGGAAAAACACTAGTGTTATACTTGTAAACACTCATCATTCTTGGAACGGTATAAGAGTTTTCCCACCTTCGGTCGTCGAGATCGGTGGTATTCACTTGCATAAGAAGAGTGTCCAAGAGTTACCACCGGTGAGCAGGCAAGATTTTTTCAATTAATTGGGTTATTTTTTTTATAATACGAGTATGACAAACGTAGAGAAAGAACGGACGAAGATCTACGTGCTCATCTGATGGTAATTGGCTACTGAACACTATGAACACAATCAAATTTAATCAAAGAAAGCCTTCTTTGATTCCACTGATGCGTTATCATAACTAATCAAATCTAATATATATATATATATATATATATATATATATAACATAAATTTTTTGTTTGTTCGTCTTATATGCACTGCCATATTGTTTATTTGATTGCGGTAAAACTTTGTCAACATATTGCTTGTACTTCCGCGAAGGTTAAAGGGCCCTCGAAGGGAGATCCTGTTTTTTGTAACATATTGCTTGTACTTCCGCGAAGGTTGAAGGCATAGTTGGACCCGGTAGGTGGCGCTGCTGTAGAATCCAGATAGCACCCGTGCGAAGCTGGTGCAGATCGCTAGTAATATATAACTAAACTTGCAGTAAAGTAAAGGTTAAGTTTACCATTATTGCCTCTCTTATCAAGCGGGTTGGGAAGCCAATTTTATATTTTGAAATGTTATCAGATAGATGCTGCAGCCCATTTCCAGTTTCGGTTTCCCTCAGTCGCCTGGATACCCCCGGAATTATATGGGGAAGTTAATTCACTTTCCCCGATGTAATAACGTGGGAAAAGTTAATTTTTTCACCCCACCACTAGTGACACGGGAGAAAATAATGTTCCGTGAAAAATATAGCTCTCCTTTTATCCTCTGTTACTCCCGATTAAATTACAAATTACTCATTTCTATGAAAGGAAATTAGATAACATTATATTTTTATTTAAACAACAAAGTACCTACTCGTATCTTTGCTTATTTGCATATTTGCTTCAAATTAGATTTTTTCCGGACCGATACGACTTAGGGACCTTCAAGAAAAGAGCCTACTCTTTTTTAAAATGCCGACAATGCATTTGCAATTCCGCTTGTGTTGCAGTTGTTCACGGGCGGCGGTAGTCACTTCCTTCAGTTGAGCCGTATGCTCGTTTGCCCCATCTCATATAAAAAAAAAGAAAAAGTAAGATGTTCCTTGAGTCATAGCTATTCTTTTTATTACGTGTAGGTAAGTCCGTGCCTTATCGGGTTTATCTGGGGGCACGGCAGTGCCCCCGCCAAGTCGAGCAAAAAAGTGCCACGGCCGTACCATACTTTTCTCGAAGCATTTCAGGCGATTTTCGACACCCTATAACTTCGTTCTGGATAAAACTAGAAGCCTGAATTTTCAGTCACCAAGCAGGCATTGTATAAACATAGTATATTCCAAATTTCATTCAATTTGAACCAGTAGTTTAAGAATTATATCTAGTCAAAATTTCTTAATTTTGTCACTCACTGACTGACCGATCATCAAAACTCTAAGGTACTTCAAGCAAACACAGAAGCTTCAAATTTAAAAAAACAGTGTTTAGTGTATACATCAAGGAAATAAACATAAAAGATGTATATATATATATATATATACATCTTTTATGTTTTAAATAAATAGATTGACGTGGCTATCGCACAAAACAATCTAACTTAATGTAATATGTATTACTTGTGAGGTACCTACATTGTGTTTTCATGCGATGATCAAGTCAATCTATTTATTTAAAACATAAAAGATTTTTAACATGTTTATGGTCATTATAAGATGTTGTCAGGTTGGCTAATTACGTAGGCGGTCCCATAATGAATTGGCCTAACTATGAACCAATGAAGGAAATGAAACGAAACCAATTTTATTTTTCAATATAATCACCATGAATACTAACACACTTCTGACATCTGTGAATCAACATCTCTAAACCTTTATAAAAATAATCACATTTTTTATCTTCAAAATGACTGAAGATGACCGCCTGCAACTCTTCATCGCTTGAAAATTTTCTTCCTCTTAAGTCCCGCTTTAATTTTGGAAATAAATAATAGTCGGACGGGGCCATGTCTGGACTGTAAGGTGGATGTTGAACTTCTGTGAACACGCATTGACGAACTGCATCCTTCGAAACACCAGCGGTATGAACAGGGGCGTTGTCATGGAGCAACAGGACACCTTTAGACAGCTTGCCTCTTCGTTTTTCCTTTATCTTGTCTCGTAATTTATATATTAAAGAAGCATAATATTTGCCGTTCACGACTGTATTACGTTCTTTAAAATCCACCATCAAAATGCCTTGAAAATCCCAAAATATTGTGCACATCAGTTTTTTAGTCGATTGTTGCACCTTTGCCTTTCTAGAGAGCTTTTCACCCTTATAACGCCATTCCATTGACTCGCGCTTGCTTTGTGGATCATAATACAAGATCATAGTTTCATCACCAGTCACTAGCCGCTCGATCACAGTCTTTGGATTTTCGCCACAAAGATCCAAAAACTCCGAAGCGCAGCGCACTTTTTCCTGTCTCTGTACCGCTGAAAGAAGTTTCGGTACCCATCTTGCACTCACTTTTTTCATGTGAAGATGTTCATGGATCGCGCGATGAACGGTACTCTTAGAGAGCCCAAGCCTTGCTGCAATTTCTCTAATCTTCAAACGGCGGTCACTCAGAACCTCCTCTTCGATAAGAGCAATCGTTTCGGGAGTGAGCACTTCCACAGGTCGACCGTCGTGGCCAAAGTCTTCAACGGTTTCTCTCCCGAGGCGAAACTCTTTCACCCAATTTTTCACTGTGCGTATAGGAGGGGGCAGACTCTTTATACACGCCATCCAATCGTTCTTTTATTTTGGCAGGGGATAAACCTTGTTTAAACAGAAACTTTATGACACTTCGATACTCAGTTTTCGACATTTTGAAAAAATACGCGACTCTCGTTATTCAAATGCCTATTAAACTAAGACTAAGCATTTCATGATTTCATGTCGATGCATGTTTCTTATATTAAGTGCACGATAAACGTACTATTTAATGCAACACAACATGTAGCGACATGTCGCGTTGAACTATATCAGGCCAGTTCATTATGGGACCGCCTGGTACATAATAACTTAAAACAGAAGGACCCTTAAGTAAGTAGGGACTGAATAAATTAACCGACTTGGTATTACATAGATCTCACTACTTTTTACGGTAGAAGAACTGAGTTGCGAGACTTGGGTTTGTATGAGGTTATGTTTTTGATGGAATTATAATATTCACATTACATTCAATGTATAAATAACTAACGAGACACTGCGGCTTCGCCTGGATAGGATTGCATTAACGTCTAAATTAAGATTTGAAATAATCATCAATGACCATTTATTTGATTAATATTTCGATTTTTCAAAAATTTCTCCCAAGTTTTTCGCATAAAATTTAGCCTAGATCACACTTGGCATTGTTCTCTTAAATGTTATTCATAACTTAATGACACACAAATAACCCGCTCAGCTCAATAAAAGGCAGCAATATTACGGACAGACATTATACTTCGTTATCTTTTTCGATGTATATATTATGGATGAATTTTTTTTTGAATATTTCAGGAATTAGAAAATTGGGTAACAAACGCCAGGAGTGGTTTCATACTTTTTAGCTTGGGATCATTAATACGCGCTTCTTCTATGACAAAAAAACATTTTGACGTCATATTAAGCGTTTTTGCCAAGTTACCGCAGCGTGTCATTTGGAAGTGGGAAACTGAAATAAGTAATCTGCCGGATAACGTGCGAGTTCTGAAATGGCTTCCTCAGCATGATCTATTATGTGAGTAACATAATAAAAATTATATACTTTGATAGAATTTTTAAGAAAAGCAACATTTAAAATTACACCACGTGTGCCATTAAGACTGCACCTCCTACAAATTGTTAAGCTCTGATCAACAAAGAAAGAAAGACAGTGCGCTGCACATATTTCAAGTCACACAAAAACCAAGCCAAAATCACGCTCAACTTATAGTAAGAATACGCACGCACGCACGTACACGTGCACGTGCACGTAAAATTAATTGCAACCAACAAAATGTTTTTAAGTGCATATGTGTGCGTCCGGCAGTGAACCTTTGCGGGCTGATAAAGAAAGAAAAAAGAGAGAAGTTTGCGTGAGTGCGTGTCAAGAAGTTAAGCACGGTTTCATCATTCGAAGTGTACGCAGCGCTTCTCCGATCTTTCATTGTTGTCTGAGACCGCAGGTAGTAATAGGGTTCACCTCAACTACTCAGAAAAAAAATCTACAGCTGTCTGGAAAAAAAAAACTTTTTTTGAAGTATGAAATTTGATACCTTCATTCAGATTATTGAGTACACTACTACAAATTTATTAACAAATTGATTTTCTCTGGAATCAACCGTGAATGTTTGGTCTTCCCATCGCGCACTACAAAATATTTCTAACTGTAACAGTTACATATGAATTTTCGATTTTACAAGGACGCAGTTTGATCACATATGGTATAAAAACGTATGGTGACCAGGATATCCAATAGTTTAAAAAACATGCCTACTTCATGTATATTCTAAAACAAATTACTGAGTCATTGTTACTTACATTTCGGAAGGATGATTTCCACAAAGTTTAATATTCATTAGGTATTAAAATTAAAAAATCATTTGCAATAAATTATATTTCGAGTTACTAATTGTGTTCAGTCACCCTGCATTGGACAGCGCGACGGACTTACATTGTAGAGCCATACTGCAGCCTATATCATAGTTGCAACACGAATGAGTCTGTTGGACTGAGGAAGGATCACGCCCTCACATAATACCAACGTAAAACTGATAAAGAAATAGCATAAAACTACCGTGTTTCGGATGAAGTGTGTCGAGAACTGAAGACCATTTTTGCTGGAAAAGAGGCATTCCTTCTTGGTTCTCAGGGGTGACAACGCATCTGCATTTTGATTCCGAATCGAGGATCGATGTAGAAGTCTATGGGCCACAGTAGGTCACTTACTATAAGGTAGTATAAAGGTGCTCGTTTGTCACACTTATTATATAAAAAAAAAAACCTTAATCTACTACAAAACCTTTACAGAATAAGGACGATGCATATGCTTTATCAAAGTTTTCTGTGAACTACGAGTATGCCCACCACCCAAACAATGGAAGTATTTGAGCTGAAACTTTATTAGGCTGTAATGATTTCTTATATTTACGCGAAGTACACATTGATTAAAACTACTTTTCGGATTTTATCGTGTTTGATTTAGGTACTGTTTTATATTCGCGACGTTTCGGGTGCTTTCCAGCACCCATAGTCACGGGGACTGAGGTGACTGACGTCCCGATGTCAGTGTTAGCCCGGAGTACCTTCAGTTTTTTAATCATAATTTATGGTCCGATCAACGCAGAATGAACTTACTGTCTTGAAGTCTTGCAGTGGTATGCTTGGATTTAGTTTTAATTTTATTAATTATAGGATTCCAAGCAGGTTGTAGTACCCAGCGTCCTTCTCTATTGAAATTAGGATGTTTTTTAATTTCAATAGCCTCATGTATGATCCTTGATAGGAATCGATGTACTTTCGCGAGGATTTGTGGTCTATCAAATCTGATGTAATGGTGGGGATCGTCTAGGATGAGATCACAAACTGCAGACTTCCCGGAACGTTGATGCTTCATGTCAGCTATATGTTCTTTTACGCGAATTCTAATTGAACTTTTTGTTTGCCCTCTACATGAGAGATTACATTCACAATCAAGCTTGTACACTCCTGTTACTTTGTCTATTGGTGAAATTGTGAAAGTATCGTCTACGTACCGCTTGTAGAACCTTACAGTTACGGGTGCAGTAGGGAGGGTTTTCTCCTCAAAGTCTTCCATGAATAAATAAGTAACAATGGAATCGCTACACCATCTACTTGCTTGTAAAACTCTTCCTTCCACAATAGATAGCCAAATGTAAGGCAATGTCTGAGTAGTACTGCATAATCTGCTGGTATGTTATTTTCTTCTAGTTTCATAGTTATAATTTAGATGCAGTCTTCAACAGGTAAGCATGTAAATAGAGACTGAACATCAAAAATGGGCATGGTTTCACTGTCAATAAGACACAGAACAAATAAGTAATAGTTTAAGAAGTAAGACGTAGGTCCTTTATCTCACTAACAAAATTGTATGAATCCTTAGTGGGTGCTCTTGGGTGTAATAAATTCACCACTCACAACAAATAAATATTAATTTTAGCTATTTCGATGATATCCCGGACGTCAGTCTGAGCGAGATTAGAATGGCTCTCCAGCACCTTAAAAACGGCAAGTCCCCGGGCGAGGATGGCATTACAGCGGAGCTTCTGAAAGCAGGTGGAAAACCCGTACTTGAAGTCCTTCAGAGGCTCTTTAATTCCGTCCTCCACGGTGGCACTACTCCGGAAGCGTGGAGCAGAAGTGCGGTAGTCTTGTTCTTCATGATTAATGTATGACAACGCCCGTTTTGAAGAACTACAGACCGAGTATCCCTTACCTGGGCCGTCGTCTATGTGCTGTTTTCGAAGAGTCATTCGACGCAATCGTCTCGCAGCGTCGCAAACTACGACGACTTCTCCAGCCTACCCCGAAAAGCCGAAAGTTTCCAAAAAGGCGTTTGAGTACTATGGACCACCATACGTACCCTTCAGGCCAATTGTACAGAGGGTTCAAACTAGAAGAGTACTATCTGCCACTTTGCCTGGCGTGATAAACTGAAATGTGGACTATCCGAGAGAAAGCCTTTGATTCCGTCGAACATTTGAGGTGGTGCTACAGTCTCTTCAGCGATGCCAAGATGACTGTCGGTATATTGAAGTGCTGACGTGTTTGTACAGTAGGGCTACGATGGCTTTCCGAGTACAGAAACAGAGTACGAAACCTATCCAACTGTAGAGAGGTGTAAGACAGGGTGACGTTATTTCCCCGAAACTCTTCACCGCTGCATTGGAAGACGTTTTCAAGCTACTGGACTGGAAAGGATGCGGTATTAAAATCAATGGCGAGTACACCACTCACCTTCGATTTGCCGACGATATAGTCTTAATGGCAGAATCGCTGGAGGATCTTAAGCACTATGCTCAATGACCTCAATGGTGCCTCCGTCCCAACGGATAGGTCTTACGATGAACATGGACAAAAAAAAGATCATGTTTAATGTCCATGTCACACCTATGCCGGTAGTTGTTGGGAGCACTATGCTCGAAGATGTTGACGAGTACGATTTACCTGGGACAAATAGTCCGACTAGGTAAGTCCAACTTCGACCGAGAGGTCAATCGACGGATTCAACTCGGCTGGGCAGCGTTCGGCAAATTACGACGCATCTTCTCGTCAGGTATTACCTCAAACCCTGAAAACTAAATTGTACAACCAGTGCGTGTTGCCAGTGATGACCTACGGATCTGAGACGTGGTCCTTCACCGCTGGCCGTATGAGGAAGCTCAAGGTCGCTCAGCGAGCTATGGAGAGGGCTATGCTCGGAGTTTCTCTGCGTGATAGACTCTGAAATGAGGATATCCGCAGTAGAACCGGAGTGACCGACATAGCCCAACGGATTAGTAAGCTGAAGTGGCAATGGGCCGGCCATATAGCTCGAAGAACCGATAACCGTTGGGGAAGAAGGGTTCTCGAGTGGCAGCCTCGTACCGGTAGGCGAAGTGTAGGGCGACCCCCCACTACATGGAGTGATGACCTGGTAAGACATGCAGGAAGTCGATGGATGCAGGTGGCTCAGGGCCGTGCTTTGTGGCATACCTTGCGGGAGGCCTATGTTCAGCAGTGGACTTGTGAAGGGCTGTAATGATGATGATGATGAATTTTAGCTAAGTGTTGAGCCAATCTGTATGTTGGCGAATCGATCTGACTCACTATTGGACTTAATAAAGCGTTCGGTTTGTGTATTTTTGCTAAATAGGTAACTTTGCTGAACAAAATCTCGGATTGGGGGCGACTAAATCTAGTCCAGTTTAACTCAGAAGACACAAGTATGCGCGTCAACCGCTAAAAAACCCTATGTCGTATCTCCTCAGTTTCAAGGCACTCCCCTTGTTGCCTCAGCCAGTATCGGAATCTTTGGCGTCGACATATCGAGTGACGTGCAGTTTCGTGGCACTTGGAAGAGAAGGCCAAATTGGCCTCTACAAAGCTTGTCGTGCTCAGCAGAGCGGGACAGTATTTCATGGCGGCACACCGCCTGCAACTTTACAAGGCGCAGGTTCGGCCGCACATGGAATACTGTTCCCATCTCTGGGCTAGGGCTCCTCAGTGCCAGCTCCTTCCATTTCCACCGCATCCAGCGCCGTGTCGAATCGTCGACGACCGAGTATTTCCGATCGGCTCGATTCGCTGGCGCTGCGAAGCGATGTTGCATCTCTTTGCATTTTCTATCGCATCTACCATGGGGAGTGCTCTGAGGAATTGTTCGGATTAATCCCAGCCGCCAAATTTCATGAACGCACTGCGCGGCAAAGCTCCCGATACCATCCACACTATCTGTATGCTTGGCGGTCCACCACTGTACGTTTTACTAGGAGTTTTCTTCCGCGTAAGACCTCTCTGTGGAATAGTTTACCATTGGCGATTTTTCCGGACCGATACGACCTTGGAACCTTCAATAAAAAAGCTTACTCCTTTTTTAAAGGCCGGCAACGCACCTGTAATTCCCTTGGTGTTGCAGTTGTTCACAGGCGGCGGTAATCACTTAACATCAGGTGAACCGTAAGCTTGTTTGCCCCCTCTCCTATAATAATAAAAAACTGGTGGTTTGGCACACGCAGGTACTATCGAATTAACGTCTAGATGCAATTTCTCTGAGTATTTCCTAATTAGATCGCTAGTTGTTTTAAGCGTAGCGTACCGTTGTAGGGTCTGTTTTTACCTTTCTGTATGTACTTTCATCCGCCAAATGTTGTTGTATTTTAAAATTGTAATCCGACGTATCCATTATAACCATAGCATTATCTTTATCTGCTTCCGCGCTGAACTTCAACGTAACAAAGACGAAATGTCTTGGCGTAGGGCCTCTAAATCTTCATTCACTATACTATTTTCAAACAGACGATCCTCAGCACTACAGATATCAATATCCTCGTGCGGGATTCGTCGCGGTGTTATGGCGAAATTAAAACCTTTCGATTTTATTGTGGCGTCGTCCAGTTTGTTTTGACAAGTTATAGACCTTTGTCACAGATTACCTCTCTGTGACCTTTGTTTATTAGGAGGGAAGTCTGCAGTTGTGATCATATCCTAGACGGCCCCCACCATTTATATCAGATTTGATAGACCACAAATCCTCGCGAAAGAACATCGATTCCTACCAAGGATCATACGTGAGGCTGTTGAAAATTTCAATAGAGAAGGAGACTGGGTACTACCACTGCAAGACTTCAAGACACAGTAAGTTCATTCTGCGTAGATCGGACCATAAATAGTAATTACAAAGCTGAAGGTACTTCGGGTTAACACTGACATCGGGACGTCAGTCACCTCAGTTCCCCGCACGTCACGGGACCATAAGTGCTGGAAAGCACCCGAACCGTCGGGAATTAAAAACCAAGTAAATTAAACGCGATAAAATCCGTAAGACTAGTTTTAATCAATTTATTAGGCGGCGTTGGTCGAGTGGTCAAAAAAGCGATTTTTGATCATGAAATCCGTAGTTCGATCCCCGGGTCGGACAAAAATCAATTGTTGGATTTTCCTGTATTTCAATGCCAGGCCCTGCAAAGCACGTAGAGCCGTTGGTCCTGTGCCTCTCTCCTCCTCCTAGTACTGATCTCTCTCTTGTCATGTCGGATTACCGTCCCATCGGAGTATGAGATAGAGGTAATAGAGAGTGCACTTGAGCATGTATGTGCATGCTCAACTGCACTTGGGCACTACAATCCTGTAGTGCGTAGATGGCTAGCCATTGTTGATACTGCCCGGAAATTATTATTATTATCAAACAATTTTAGACTTCCATGAATTCTAAGTTCATACGTAAATAGTTACATCACATAATTTAAATTATAACGAAATTCATCCAGACCATAACAACTGCATGGCGTTTATAACGCACGGTGGCATGCTGAGTCTGACGGAAGCAGTCTCCGCTGGAGTTCCAGTTTTGGTGGTACCGATCCTTGGAGACCAGTTCGGCAACGCGGAACACGCCCATCACGCGGGTTTCGCGCATGTCCTGCGTCTGAGAGACCTTAACGAGAAGAGTTTCCACCACGCCCTGAAAGTTATTTTATCGCCTGGGTAAAGTCATTATTAGTTATGGGTTTTTGACAATTTATTTTTTACGGATAGAGTCTATCAAAAGTTCACTCCACCGTAGACTAGCTAACATGGCTGTTGCCAGTTTTTTTACTATTTTAGTTGTTATTAGGAAGATGCTTGTGCCCATAGAATACTATAATACATACATAATAGAACGGGGGAGTGGGCGGAGCCCGCGTAGCCACTAAAATGTCACTAACACGTCAATTAACACGTATAAATGTCAATACGAGATGTGTTTTGACGTTACAATCGTTTCCAAATTTCGCATGCAAATTATTTAGAAAATGCCAAATTGCACCCTATTTTCAAATTAATATGTATTAAAATTTAATGATGACCTGTGATGTGAACATTAATCAAAAGTCTAAAATGTGTAAATCTACTCAGTCTGTCAACACTGTGAATCGGATTTGGCGACGCCAACCCACGTATAAAGTAAAGTTGACAGCCATTCTATTGTGTATTATAGTATTCTATGCTTCTGCCCATCTCCCGTGTCAGTTTCCCTCTGTCGCTTTTTACGACATCCGTATCATCCATATGGAATAGTGGATTATCTTGCGCCGCTACCACACGACAAACTCTTAGGTAACTTAAATTCATCGAGAGTTACTGAACGTTCTTTTAAAACTAGAAAACGAGTGATAAAATAGCATGCAGTTCACCCGAATACTAATACACTGTGACCCATAGACATCTTAATCTATTCTGGATTAAGAATCAAAATTGTAAATGGGATTTTAGTCAAAGACTGGCTTATAATAAGAAAAAAATTCAAAACACAGAGTGCGTTCGTTACCAACAGACAATTCTCCGATTCTTAGCACTCAGCAGACGAAATACACCATAATGCTAATATTCTGTGCGCGCTTAGTCCATTCCAGTCGATCCACCCCACCCATTCTTTCCGTAGCAATATTAGCTCTGAAGCACGCCTACCACGTAAAAGCACATTTCTTTCAGTGAGATTTATTTTGCGTTTTTTAAATGTCTAAATATAGTTGAATAGTCAGCTATTTTATTCTGAAACTCTAAGCGGAGGCGGTGACAGTGCCACCACATAGTGTAATACTATAGGTATACAACGGTGTAGAAATATAGGCGCTTACTCATAAAACTCGACATTATAAGAAATTTTTAAAATTGCTCTTTCTTTTCACTAAATGACAATAGAAAGAGAGAGGTATAGAGATAATTAAAACGATGATTAACGATTACCTATAAGCAATTATTTATTCTGTGCTATAAGGCTGAGTATCGAGAAATTTAACAAATGTAGTTGACGTACTGTTCTTACAATAAATTTCAGGTTGCGTTCTCGCGCAAAACAACTTCGGGATATATGGCAAGACCGACAACATTCACCAATGGACACTGCTATATTCCACATAGAACGCACAGCTCGGCATAAGGGCTTGGATATGTCGTCAGATGCGCGTTGGTTAAATCGATTTCAGCTGGCTTTAATCGATTTGTTAGCGTTTGTCGTCGCACTGCTGGGCGGTGTAGTTCTCGTTATATATACGGTTTGTAATAAGTGTCACAGAAAAATTAAACAAAGCTGATCTTATCGTAATATTACATAGACGAATGTACCTAGTAAATAAATAAATTCAAGTTAGCCTACATACTTTGTTTTATTTTTTTAATAACTAATTTTGTTTATTAAAAATTAATTTTTTTTTTGACATCGTTCTTTCTGCTTGGGATCCTGTATAACGTTATAACTTATTAATATGTTTTAGTACTCACCCGACTTTAAAAAAGGAGGTGGTACAGTAAAAGCTCTTTATTCGCGGGGTATATGTTCCGTAAATATGCCGCGAATACAGAAAACATGAGTATGGAATGGTAATTTATATGGGGTTATAAGTTCCTAGGTGACAAAACAAAAAAAATATATATAAAAATCAATTCAATTAAAGTTTTTGATTATATTGATTAAGTATTTATTATCTTCAGGTTTAGGCAATGGTTTAAAAAAAATTGTAATTTTTCTTGCTTGGCACTTTTTAAAAGCTCTTTTAATTCAGACTGATATTCAGTTGTGGCATTAGCAATTTGCTTTTTAAAAATAAGATTTCGTTCCATAGACGGATCAATTTTCAAAAAGAAATCACAAAGCTCATTCGCTATTTAAGCTTTCACTAAGATTTTTCAAATTAAATGTCATGTTTCCAGTGCTTGTTGAAGCCTTTTCTTCAATGGGCTGTAAATTTACCGTTTCATCTGATTCGGTTTCAGTCAAATCTTCATCTTGCGATTCAAGCAATGCCCGAATGTCACTTGATTCGATACAGCTTTTGGAATCATTTTTATTAATATGTACAGACGTACCGATTAGATCCGCGAATAAAGAAATCTTTAGCCGCGAATATAGGAATTGGTTCGCATTTTTTTAACCCGCGAATAGTGAAAACGCGAATAAGGAGCTCTTACAGTATACAACTCGATTGATCGCATGTTAGGTACACAATAATTTCGTCACTTGTGAACTGATTTTGACGATTCTTTTTTATTAAAGGCCAAAAAGGTTATGTTTTTTTATAGGATAGGGTGACAACGAGCACACAGTCCACCTGATGGTAAGTGGTTGCTGCGGCCCATAGACATCCACATCTATCCTCGATTAAAAATCAAAATACAAATGCGTTGTCACCCGTGAGGACTAACATGGATTGCCTTGTTTCCGGTAAAAAAGGGTCTCCGGTTCTCTACACTCACAATACGAAACACAGCAGCTGCTATTTCACGGTGGTATTCTGTGAGAGCGTGGTCCTTCCACGGTCGAGCCGACCCATTCGTGCTACAATTATACTACTAATATAACTGCAGCATGGCTCTACCACGTATACAATGTATCTGTTTAGGCCTAATTGCTGTAATTGTCTGTTATAACGCATCAACATATTGTGTTTTTAAATAAATTATGAGCTATAAATGAAAAGTTCTTAATACTTGACATTAATAAAAGTACAATGGTACCAATCCATTAAAGAAAGAAAGTTAGAATTAAACTAACATGTCATAAAATAAAATTTATTGTCCCCGTTTTAACATTTCATTAAAATATATAAAAAACATCATACAAAAATATCTATTTCTAACTGCTTAACACCATACAACTGAGCGATTACCGAAGGCACAATGTGATGAATAAAATTCGAGGTTGTTTCGCTGAGACTAGATAACGTACATAACATTTCACTATATAATTCTACCATATACTTAGGAATGTATTGGAATGCAATCATAATATTATAAATTCAATAATTCTGAGTATTAATAACGTCGATCTTAAACACTTATCAACTAATTTGTCTCGTTCCATTAAACTACGTGTAAAGGAGACAGCATCACAAATGCTTCACTTGACATAACGAAAAATATATAATATTAATAAAAATAAAATCACGTAAAATATAACGCTTCGTGATATTAATATTTTATGAGATATATATAGAAAATGAGTCTAATAAAATTGTTGATATTTATAACATGCTATACCTACAGTAAATAAGTTCCCAATGAGGCATTATAGTTGTGCATCATTTGCGATAATGAAGTTAATAAAACTTAACTAACTAGGTTTATAATCAACATATTCAAAAGTTCTTATACTATCTGTAAACAAAATCAAGCCCTTCATTGAATATTTTAAAAAAGATAGAAATTAAGACATTATTGCAATATTTAAAAAATATACAGCTGTTTAACAAGAGATATAACAGTATTATGCAAATATAATTAAAAATAAATGCATTTTAAGTACTAGTCAAATATTTGTCATTAGGCCAGTTGGTTCCTAATGAAAGAGGGTAACGTAAAGGCCGCTTTGTGAATGTCACTGTTATAGTACCTAAGATTCATTTGTCTTTCCTCTTCTTTTGTAAATGTTATCTGTGGGCTGTCAAATTTGACATTTGGATCCAACGACCCTATTACAAAACCTATCAAGCCTGATGGGTACGTCGGCACAGAAGCGTACGCGTAAGCAGCGGCTGGGAATTGATTCCTACAAAACTGCAAAGTGTTCGTGACTAATTCCAAGTCATTCCAGAAAGTTCCAGCTTGGGAACAAACTATACCGTTCGGTTTAAGCGCACTTTTCATTAAAGCAAAGTAGTTCTCTTGGAAGAGGTTCACGGCCGGACCTACTGGGTCACTGCTGTCAGTGATGATGACGTCAAACTCCCTGCTATGGTTTTTCATAAATTCGAAGCCGTCTCCAACGTGTAAAGTTAGTTTCTTGCTGTCGAAGCCCACCGCCATAAATGGTAGATACTTTTTCGAAACCTCTATAACTTTTGCGTCAATCTCTACCTGTAAGCACACTAATTGTTAAACGCTTATTTTGGATCTAGGGTTTAGGAATGCCCAAGCAATGAATTGCTACTGTCAGTGCTGATAATCTGCCATTCCGTAATTCATTCAGCTACTAACAAAATTTTATTTTATCATCATTATCATCATTACAGCCCTTCACAAGTCTGAACATAGGCCTCCCCCAAGTAATGCCAAAAAGCACGGTCCTGAGCCACCTGCATCCATCGACTTCCTGCATATCTTACCGGGTCGTCACTCCATCTAGTGGGGGATCGCCCTACACTACGCCTACCGGTACGAGACTGCCACTCGAGAACCTGTCTTCCCCATCGGTCATGGGTTCTTCGAGCTATCGTCACTCCGTCTAGTGGGGGTCGCCCTACACTACGCCTACCGGTACGAGTCTGCCACTCGAGAACCTTTCTTCCCCATCGGTTATCGGTTCTTTGAGCAAATCACGCAGGGAAACTCCGAGCATAGCCCTCGCCATAGCTCACTGAGCGACCTTGAGGTTCCTCATACAGCCAGCAGTGAAGGACCACGTCTCAGATCTGTAAGTCATCACTGGCAACACGCACTGGTTGTACAAACTAGTTTTCAGAGATTGAGGTATACCTGACGAGAAGATGTGTCGTAATTTCCATAACGCTGCCC